ATGCACAAATAACATGTTTGCAACTACAAAAGCAAAAGAAAATTCTTTCCCAATTACTAACCTGCACACTGGATGTTTTAAAAGCTTTTAAACAAACTATTACAAAGTCTTGCTGTCAACCACCATATTAGTACTTTACATGTGATATGAAAGATGTTTCAGTAACTTACAAAACACGTATCTTGAATTGCAGTAAACTAGCTAATGTGGATGATGTTGCATGTGTTAATATATATTTTTGTATCGCCTCACCATGACACAAATTTTTGATACAATGTAGTTGACTATAAGAGTAGTGCTATTACTATAGATATTACAAATTACTAGGCTGGAAAACATTATAAACATTTCAAGGATGATTAATTTCTAAAAATAACAAAATAAAGCAAAGTTTAGAAGTCAACCTGACATTTTCACAACTAATAAAACATGTTTTTATAGAAAGAACTATATGGTAAAATGTTATGTAGTAAAAAATCTAAAATTTTGGACTTTTTTCAAGCTTTATATCCTGTTAGCAATTTAAAAATGTATAGACTTTTTAAAAAATCACTGACATATTAAGGTGTTACATTTATAAAAATTTATTAGTAATAAAAATTAAATAAGAAGATAAATAAAACGCTAACTATATATGGACTTGATCGTCGTTTTCTCCCTCAGAAAACAATAAGCTTATTGAAGTAACTTCTTGAAAATAATAAGCAGATTAGCCTGTAGAGTGCTTGAATATATAAATACTGACACATCTGTAACAATAATAAATGGACTTGCAGAAAAAAGCATATATAAGTTGCTTCCAGAAGAATTTTTAATTTTTCTTTTTTCTTGTGACTATAATATAAAAAGTATTATTCCTCATTACTCAAAGTTAATGCCAAAAATTCTGTTTTCTATCTTCTCAGTTGTGACTCAGTTTATAAATGAAGTTTGATTAAACTAAGTATTAATGAAAATGTCAGCACCATAGGCACCTTCTCAACTTTTGAACTTTTGGTGCCTGGGAGAAAGTATGTGTCAGGAACAGATATCCTACTCAAGGCTCCACATTGGACTGTAATATTCCTTTCTTCCCATCAGAATGAGAGTCAGCAGCTGGGCCCAGTTGACCATGTCTGTAATCCCAGACACTAGGGAGTCTGAGGCATGAGGAAGCAAGTTCAGTGACCAAAATAGAATTTTTTAAAGAGAAGATGGCAATGTAGCTCAGTGGTAGAGCACCTGTCCAGCATGTGTGAGGCTCTGGGTTGATTTAGCCTCCATATCACAAGAATGACCCCCAGCAACCCACATTATCACTTGGTTATTGTTCTTCAATTTTCTTCTCCCTCTTTCCCCAAGCATGTCAGTAGATTGACACTCCTCCCCCCTGCCACACACACTATACCTTCAAGCTACACTACAACAGTGCACAGCAAAGAACTGGCTGATGCTTACCTGCTTCCCTTCTGCCAGTTCACACTGGATTATAAATTAAGGTTTTATAACTACAGGAAGGGGACACAGTCATGGAAAACAGAAAAAGAGAAATACAGAGGCACACAGAGACATAAAATGTGGACAGATAAACATAGAACCAGAGACATTCCCTAATTTAAGAAAACTATTTATGTATGTAAGGTTGAAGTACTTGTTATTTTGATTTTCCTATGCAAAATATTGGGCAGACTTTCTAAGGCAATGTGGTTGGAGACCATTCAACTAATATGAGCATTATCAGAATTGGTACTCTAGCTTAGTTTCCAATTTTATCCATGTAGTTATCATGCAAAAAATCAATCACTAGACAATTATATACTACAAATTAAAAGACTGATTTAAGTATTCCTACATACTGGTAATAATTTTGTTTAGATATCAAGAATACTGATAATAATTTTGTTTACATACTAGTATTTGGAAATTTTTTGGTAAAGGAGAGGATCAAGTAAAAAAATTCTTTTTCAAGTCTCAGGCTGAGACTAAAGATATCATTCATTTTGCTTACCTAGTGCTCAAAAGTTTAGCTCTATTTCAAGGCAAGTAGCTGGTAAAAAACAATGGAAGACTTATCAAATGGCAAACACGGTCAGAAGTTATACATGTATTATTCCATCAATTGCTAAAATAACCCTGTAAGAATTTTTATCTTACAGATGGAAAATAGGCATAAATATTTTTAAGGTACTGTAAGCTCCTTGAGTTAAAAAATGTTTGTGCATCACTTGCTTCCAAATGACCAGAAGAGTTTTTAAATTACCTTTGTATCACTTAATAGCTATGTAATCTCAGTTTTTTCCCACTCAGTATCCCAGTATTTTTATGTGTAAAAATAATGGTGATGATAATCATAATTACCACTAATAAATCCATGTGATTGCTGGCCATAAACTCAGTAGTCATTGGTTATTATTTGTTCTGGAGAAAGGAGTAGTCATTCAAGTCACTATCTAGAAAAGTTGACTCCCAGGGTCAAAAGAGAACAAATAAAGCTGGACATCTCAACAGTACCCAACGAGATGCCATCAGAGGATGTTTTGGAGACAAAAGTGGTTATAACTAGCTTACATTTTAACTCAGTCTTCTGAAGTTTCAAGTTATGCAATATTTCCCAAAGCCGGGATTGACAGGAACTCTAAAAGTTCCTAGCCTGTTATATTTCAGGACTTGATCAAAGGTATATTCCTCCTCTATGGAAAAGTTGGGTTCCAAAAGGCAGTTTATAAAGCTCTTACTCAATACTTAGAATAGGCACCATAAAGGCTGAAGGGAAGGCTTTCTACAAAAGGCAAAAAACCAGCTCACATTTTCTTTATGTGAAGTTGTAAAATATCATAGAAGGTAACAAAGATAAAGTTTATAAGTAGAAAGCTTTTCTATTGTTTATGCTGCTATGGTTAGAAAAAAATCAAAGAATATTAAGTAGTCCAAAGAAAACAGAAAGAGTTACTTTGATTGTTAGCCTCAAATATTTTATATGCCAGTCACTTTTCTGTGTCCTGTCCCTATATTAGAGCTTTTTTCACATATTTAAACATTTCTCAAAGTTACCTGGATATATTCTGTTTGTGTGTGTGTGTGTGTGTGTGTGTGTGTGTGTGTGTATATTAGTGTTCAGTACTAACTACAGATCCCCAAACCAACATCCATAATCTGTGCATGGCTCGCCATATTTGGGGCCTGAATACATAGGAGTTGTAAGTATTAAATGATAAGTTCTACCTCTGAAATGGTAATCTTTCTTACCACTATTTCTCCTGTTTTTTAATCAACCTTCCTCTAACAAGGGTAATTTTAGATTGACCTTTTGAACATAAATTATGTGTGTATATGTATATGTAAATATATTTAATTTTTTAAAAATATAAACATCAAATGAAATAGCTCTCTTAGCTAGCTAATTCCTGGTTGTTATAATTTACTAAAAGAAAAATAAACTGAAGGGACTGATAACAGGATGAAGGAAATGAACATATTTGAAGATTTTTCATGCATTGTATAGATTCTTTACATATACTATTTACTATAATTCTCAAAGTTATCTTAGAAGGGAAGTTTTTTTTGCTTTTATAATAAAAAATCTAATTTGATTCACCTTAAGATATGAATAGTAGGAAAATTATTTGTTTAAAAGAACATTACCTTTTATTGTAGCTTATCAGAAAGTGTAATATGTGCCATATCAATATATGAATTAATAAAACAGTAAAATTGTTGACAAATTTAAGTTATTTAAAATAAGGTGGTTGTATAAGGATTTTACTCTTGTGTATAAAACTCTCCCTACCTTTTAGTGATTTGTTAGATCTAAATATAACATTAGGGGAACTTTTGAGGAAAACTTCAAAAAAGACCAAAGTTATCTGAGCTAATTTTCATAATGACAGCAGACTGGAAATCATGTTGAAATTTAGGAACATAGGCCAAATCAGAACTGCAGCACTGGTGAACTACAATGGGTTTTTGCAATCAACTAAAAACCAAAAGTGAGCTAAACAGGCTGAAAATTCACTTCAGCTGTTTGATGCACTGTAATATTCTGAAACCTCCTTAGCAGTGGCAAATACAGCTATGTCCCTTTTTTTTTACTGTAATTACTATCAACCTATGAGAAGGCCTTATATTACAACAGTTGCATCTTAGTGCAAGATCAATGATAATTCCAGAAAACTTTAAATTATAAAAAGGGATGTGTATGTAGATGTAAATTTACCAGCTTTTAGAAAAATTCACTGACTGTTACATTAAGTTATAGAAATAGGTCATGCTTCAAAATCAAATGATTATATATTTTATAAAATTTTCAAAGGTACATAATTTCCAAATACTCATATGTATATTATAAAACCCAAAAATGAGCAAAGTGAGCACCAAGTCTACTATGAGTATATTAGCATGTTTCTGTAAAACCACCATTCTCTTAAAAAGTGAAAGCATATATTCATGTTGTTTTGCTGTTGGGTTGTTTGTTGTTGTCATTTAGTTTTTTTGTTGTTTTACTCCATTGGAGGTTGTAAAACAGAAATAATTTTCTTTTAATGGGAGGTCATTGCTTATATTTTGGGCATTAAAAACTTGTAGAGTAGTAAACCCTAAAAATAAAAGATTGCTTGGCCTGTGAAAGAAATTTTCTATCTTTTTTCAAATTTTATACTTACTACATCACAAATGGTTTTTAAGTAAAAAAAAAAATGAAAACCCAAAAAATTCACAGTAAATGATATAATTAATAATAGAGCTGATTTTCTGTAAGTGTGGCAAAAACAAAAACTAAAACATGCAGGAGTTCTTTTAAAAATGTAAAACCCTTGGGGTGAATACACATTTCAACGAGCACTTTAAGAAATCCAACTGAAAAGTTGTAATTATTGCAGCTTATGTATATATCATGGTGCTCACTCAAATTAATATCAGTAAGGAAATGCTACAAAGTACCAGCACACAGATTCTGAAGAAAAGGTCTAGTATGACTGAGTGAGACAACACTAGGCATCACACAAAAGTCTAACGGAAGATCTTACCATGAACTACTGGGGCTAAGAGCATCGTGAAGATCAGAAGCTGTGATGGCTGCATGGCTGAGTGAGTACTTGGGTGTGAGTTCCTCAAAATAAGTGTATTTCTGGATTCTCTTCTGTACTCCAGGATCAATGATTAAAAACAAAAAATCTCAAAATGAGAAAGAAAAATTCTTCAAAAACAAACACCAATATTCCAAATCTGAAACCTGCAAAAAAGAAAAAAGATGGGGTGAGATTATCAAATGAAGGTATTCTTATCTCAATTCCTTCAAGAATTCCTTTATTTCCTGAATAAGCCATCTGTTTTCTCTTTATTTTAATGAGCACAAACATCATACACAAAATGAGAAAGCAATTCAAAAGACATTATGCATGTATTATCATACAGTTTATACCCCAGCCTCAAACCTGAATAAAACAATTCTGCCTCCACTGGAGAAATTAATTTAAATATACTCATTTAAGTATGTATAAGGAGATTTGGGGCTAGCTCAATATAAGTACTTTACACAAATAAAATTTTTTTACTAACATTAGAAGAGTAAAATATTTCATTTATCACCATTTCTGTAAATAAGTTCAAAAAGAAAATTGTGTCTTACTCAATTCATTTCAGACTCTGATACTCATTCACAAATTATTCTTCATATTGATTCTATTTTTCTAGGCATCTTTGCAAGATCAGTGATCACAAATTCATGTTTACAAAAGACGTTACTTTTTGTTTGATTGTTTAAAACCTCAGTTCTTAAATTCAATGCAAGGTATTGCCTAAACCACAATTTAGACATTAGGCCTACATAATTTTTATAAGAAAACTAAATTGGAATGCAGCTCAAACATGATTAATTCATTCAAGGGAGATTTACACTGATACACAAAACACAGGGCTGGTAACACAGGATAGAATGAATTAAACCAAGGAACATGTTCCCTCGTATCTTCCAATTTATGATGAAGATTCTTGCTTAAAGATCTTAAATGTGCTTGTAATAATGCCTGACGTTGTTAAATGTGTATATAAGACATTAAAAACTGTCAGTACTGAGTCACTTTATCAAACTGAATAATTGAAGTGCCTTTTCTATAATTATTAAGAACCCAAAATTTTGGCTGAACCTGACCCAAAGTTTGAAGGCACAGTCTTTCACAGTCAGCACCTTTAAATTGATCAATCAAATAAAAACCTGGGTCTTCATTTAAAATTACTTTTCTTGATCCTTTGTATTCAATAACTGACACATATTTTCAATAACTTCAGAGATTAACTATAAAATTTAAATTTTGAAAGTGATATTTAAAATAGTTTCCTGAAGGGAAGCATTCCAAATCAGAAAATCCCAAGTCTGAAATACTCCGAAGTCCAAAATTTCTTAAGCATTAACAGGATACCACAAGTAGAAAATTCCACATTTGACTTAATGTGATGGTTACCATAACAACATAGACTCTCTACAAATATAGTACAAAATTAACTTCATGCTATGTCTATGAGGTATATACGAAACACAAATGAATTTCATGTTTAGATCTGGATCCTCTTCCCAAGATATCTCATTACTTTTTATATAAAAATTCCAAAATAAAAAAAAAAACATGAAATCTAAAATGCTTCTAGCTCTAACCATTTCACATAGGGTATACTCAAGTTGTAATAAGCTTTGATGAGCCAAAATAAAAACCAAAGTCTTTCTGAAAACTCACCTTCATCACAAGTCATAATTATACAAGTTTATTAGATTTTTAAAAAATATTATTAAGGACAGATTTTATAAGCATAGGTTTTGGAACCAGACAACCTTAACTTAATTACTAGTTCTTCTAGTATTGTGACCTTGATCAGTCATTTAATCACCTTGTGTCTCAGTTTTCCTAACTATATGGTAGGGAAGTAAAATTAATATGTTTATTAAATATTAAATGGGTTAAAACGTGATTTTTTAAATTGCATAAAATATATAAAGTATGTATTGCACAAAACAGTGTTAACTTGTGTATGTGCTATGTAATTTATTTTAATACGTAACAAAATTATAATAATTAAAATCTATAAATTGCAATAATAAATAGATTGGTTACAACCTACAGGAAAATATGCTACCACTTTTAAATGCTAACATTTAAAAAAAAATTTATCATGACTTTTTCCAATTTATGTCTCAATGTTAACTTCACCAAACCAACTAATTTTTATATAAAAGGAACTTTCACTGAAAAGCAAAGCTCTTCAAAAACATAGAGAAGAGAAACCAGTGAAACATATCAGGGATGCACTAAGTCACATATGACATCATCCAATACACTCATGATTTACTAATAAATATTGCACAGCCATAAACATACATACACTAATTCTTTATAATCTATGCCCTTGGAAGTAATGGATGACTTCCTATGCATTTCTTCATAGAAAACGCCTGACAGGAATGGGAGTTCTATGATATAATTAACTCTTAGGGAAAAAGGATCTGACTATGACATAAGTTCCTCCCATCACCAGTCTATAAAATGTGAATATTTTGATGTGACAATCACTGGACAGAAGCAAAATGAGTTTTAAAGGCCTTAGCACCAAGTAAAATATGTATTTTTAAAATGCTAGCTATAATTTACAACCTTGAAGCCTAAAAATATTCTATCTTTTAAATTTTTCTTGTTAATAGCTAAAAGAATTCTACATATTATTCCTCAATTGAGAGAGTATATGTGGCTGTACACCACAATGGAATAGAATGGAGTATAAAGCACCTTCAGCTTGGGTACTACTATCACTTACACTAATTTAAAAAAATTAGACAGATTCTCCCAACAATTTGACTCTGAACACCAAAGAATCACTGTAAGTTTTAAGGATCTTTCCTTTCTTTTAATAACTAGGGGTCAAAGAACATTATATAAAATAATTATTAACAAAATATTTAATCATTGAGATGAATTAGTGAGAATAAAGAGTTGAATGTTCTAGTAATAAATACATTTTTAAATAATTCTGTTTCCTGTTGGAGTTTAGTAGGAGTAAATTCTCAATCAACTTGCTTAATGTTTTCAAAAACACTTAATTCAACAAATTCATACATGTGTTTCTTTGGCAATTTCTTCCAAGTGTGCACTGCACTTGTTCACAGGGGAGTATGTGAAATACACAAGGCCTTGCATTACCAGGGAGAGAAAAGATTTGGAGAGGAACAAGAAACAATGAGGATGGGCAGAAGGAAAGGGACAAGAGACAATGCAGAAAATGAAATAAATTATAAATCTAAATCTGATTCTTTTAAAAAGGCATTTTTAAAAATAGAGAAAAAACAGTTTGGAAGATGCAGACTTGCAAGAAGAGATAACGAGTAATGGCACTTGAATTTGATGAATGGTTAAGACTTCAGAAACAGTAGTTAGTGAAAGAATATTCTGCAGTTACAGTAAAGATAGAGTTGGAGAAAGATAGCATATTGCAGACCACAAGTCATCTGGTTCACCTGTAGTAAGGAACAAGAAAATACAACATAGAACATCCAATGAGACAGAACAGAAAGGGTTTTGAAGATAATACAAAGAAAAGTGACTTCACATTGATCAGGTTCTAATACGCATTTTTTAACATTTGCTGACATGAAATATATTAACAAATATAAATCACTATTAATTCTGTCCTTTAACAATGGTCAATAAAGTATGTACACCCAGAATACACAGAATTTACAGTTCTGTAGATTGCTCTTAAATATTCACTGTCTGTTGGATTTAATTTTGTATTCTTTCATTTTTAAATAAGGAACTGGAGTTGATACAGTTATTAACAGAAATTGATGTACTAAATGAATTATTAATTGAATAAATCAACTAGTATTTAGACAGTATTAGTACTTAGATAGTAGCGAGAATGACAACATACAAAAAATATAATGGAGCCTTTGTATTTTCATAATATGGTATTTCTGTCAGAGTTCCAAACTTGCATCACACTGCTGAGTATCCATTATGCTACTGGAGATCAAATATTGATTCCAAAGAATTAGCAACACTTTCAGATAGAATGGCATTGTTATGCATTTAGCAGTGACTACTCATCTTGATAGATATGTATTTTATAACACATTCAAGTCATATACAATCTGGAAGAAATATAATCTATGGTAAGCATGCATTTGTCTTGACCTAAAAGTGATGTGCCCATGTTTTCTAAGCCTTTAGTCCTGCAAATGTCCCTTTTTTCTTCTGAAAAATCGGGTCTACCATTATCAAGTACAAAACCTCAAACAGTCTAAACCATGAAAAGGAGCATGAAGAGAGGACACACCATATGCTTAAGAGTAATAAAGGGTCAGATTTTTAACCTCTGTATTTGAGGTTAAATCTACCATAAGTAGATTATATAAATTTTCTATACCCTAATGTTCACATCTATATTTAATACTTATTTTACCAGATGGTTTAAAGATTGAATAAAGGTAATATATCTAAACAACCTATAATGATTCCTGGCAAGAGTAAGAACCCAATAAATGAGAAAAGTCCTTGTTCTTTTTTAATGATTATATTTATATTTAAAAGTGGGGTTATAAATGGTGAATGAGATTATATTTGGTAGTAAGTGAAGTAGAAGAACATTTGATAGGAGTTTGCAGGTGGCTGAGTGAAAAAGGGGATAGACTGAAGCCACATGGTAAACACCAGGATTTGCCAGAGTTAGTATGGTAGAGATTCACAGTAACCTACAAGTTCAGCATTGTGATTTAAAATATAGATAATTTGGAGAAAGTCAAGAAAAGAAGTTTTTAAATACCACTGTTATTGATGGTGTTTTGTCATGTGAAAGGACAAATAAATCAGAAGGGAAAAATCAAAGGGAAAAGTATAGGATGGGCAGAGAAGACACATTAAAAAAATCAAATTGGGAGTAGAGCTGAAATCAAGTCTTCAAATTAAAAGTGTGTCTTCTCCATTCTTCCTTTAGTTCTTCCTCTATGAGGTTCAGAGAAACCACAGCAAGAAAGATAGTTTCCTAGTCAATAAATGTTAATACTACCTCTATTCAGTGAATTTTAAGGTTACATTTACATTTAAGGTCATTAAAACATGTTTTGAGGGATGAAATGCTAAACTTCTACATATCTGAAAGTTATAAGAAAGTTGGTCTTGTTGGTTAAGAAAATACACATCACAGAATTGTAATTTGATGCTGAAGTTAAAAAACAAGTCACCTAGGAAA